CATTTCGGGAGTGGTGCAATTTAGTGGTCCAGTTTCCTGGGGAAGAAAGAAATGCGTGGAAATGCGTAAATTATTTACCAGGCCTTGCTGGTGTTTGCACCAGGCTCTCCTTTCGTGGTGTGGTGGTGGGACCAAAAAATAGGGGATGCGTGAAAACCTTGCGTTTGTCACACAACTGCCAATTGTGATGCGTTTTGTAAACAAACCAAACTTGATGCGTGCGAGCGGCTGGAGTCGCTGGGGTTCTTGGGCTTGGCGGCACCATGCATACATAGACATGATTCAGATGTGTGTGGGGCAGGGCATAGCCATAGGTGTCCAGGTTCTGTGGAGCCTCGTTTATGCTTGGTGATTTCAAGTGAGCTCGGTTTTGGATGACATCTGAAAACCTCAGAAAGGGAAATAGGGGTTTGGTATGTGCGATTAGACAATGTCAGGCAGAAGTGAAAAATTCACACGAAATATGGGGAAAAGGAGTGAAAAATTCTTCCTCACAGGGTGTTACCTTATATTCAAAGTCGGCAATTCTAGGACACTGGTTTGTCTACCAATAACACAGTAGTTGAAATGAAACACGGCCCAAATCATTTAGAGCAAGACCCATGCAATATTGGTATCAATAGATGCAAACAACATTTTTGAACACCTCTACCACCTTCATTCAGCTTTATATGTTATGTGATGAAAATAAAAGCGTTTTATCTCGCGCCTGCCCACCGATTAGTGCGCTAAGCCAGAAGTACAACGGGCAATGTGAGAGGCCTATAACAGTGATGCTCAGTCTCTTACCTCAAAGCAGCTGCTACTATCAGCAGCTGAGAGCCCGGGATGAATCTTTGACATGTGTTGCTCCAGCGTCTTCCGCTTACCTCTGGAGCTACAGCCCAAGTATCCACAAACAACGATCTTCCTAGATCGGCAGGGCTTTTCAAAGCTATTACATCGAAAAGCTGACGATTAGATACGCGCTTCTAGCCACTCAGCTTTTCACGACATGAATACAGCCAAAAGCCCACAGCCTTGCACTGAACTCACTGCATTACCGCGTGGCGAGCGTTCGAGCCCATCCGTCTCAAATGACACGACGTTTTAAAACGCTGCGTAGCAAACGGATCGCGTTCATCGCAAGATGCTGCGGCCAGCCACGATCCTTACGACTAGCAATAAGCCTAGTTATTTGATGTTTTATGCTGTTTTGTACGTGAAGTGAATCTTGGCTGAAAAAATCTGCGAAAAACACAGATTTAAGGGCCGTTGGAAAAGCACTCAGTCACGGCTGATCTGTGATGTCAACAGTGATAAAGTATAGTTTGTAGTATATTTCTGGCACCTGCTTAAGACTATCCTGATTAAAGTTGCTATGTTTGGCAACATATTATGACTTAATTTGCTCATACAGCCAAACGTCAACGCAAGGCGATATATACCAGGTAAAACCGTCTCGACAACGCACTTCTCAGCAAAGATCCCTATTTGACGTCACCAGGGGCACTCCTTTAACGCTGGCATGTGTTCTACACATGCTCGCGTTGCAAGTGTCAACAAGCACAGACCAGTACTAAGCTTTGAGTTTCGTTAAGATGGGATAGTAAGCTGTAATATGGTCTTGTCTATTGAAATTTTTTTTCATTTTGTCATTGTCATCACTAATTGGTTCGCAAAAGTGTCAGTTTCTTTCACCAATCTTATGTGGTAAATCAGAAGCTTTTTCAACACTGTTTTCCCTCGCAGATCCGGCCAGCAATACGAGCCCATCGGCCAGAGCGGCGGGCGCGTCAGCATTCTCTCTCAGGCCCCGCTCGGCCTAATGGTCTTGTTTGGTTTGGCGAGCGGGGAATTCCCGGCCATGGCCGGCTTGCTCGCCATCCCACGCTCCGCTGGGGAAGCCCCACCGATCCTGGGCGGAGAGCGTGCAAGGTGGAAGGTAAAAAAAAAATGTATGCCTACATGTTCCTGATACTACCTCGGACGGGTGTTGCCCAGCGCTACGACACGGCGAAGAGTGTAAAGTGAAGTGGGTTACGTTTTTGGATGGAAAATCACATCACCATGACGAATGGTCAAGTTTTAAAACAATATGAGCGTTCAAGGATGACGTGCCCAGCACAAGTGGGGTTGGGAAGGGGGGGGGGGGTATTGGCCTTTCGGCGTTCAGGGCTGCGTGGTGGAGCTTCAGCTCTCACATTTTGGAACAGAGCGAATTTGTATTTTGCCAGCGACGTCATTTGTTTAGTAGAGTCAGCGGTTTCAAAGTTCCATTGTGGTACCTTAATCATGAAATATTGCACCACCGCCATATTTGCAGCAAAAAATCCAGTGCTGTCCTACCCTACCTGATCCTGTTCTGCACTGTGCCGTGCCGTGCTCTTCCTCATGGACATGAACCTCACAAGCACTTAGGCCTGAGCTCGTGTTCGCGGCTTAACGGGCACCAGCCGGCGCTCATCGTCCCACACACACACACACAAACACCGCAGCACTCCTGCCTCTTTACCGTGGTCGCGCAATAAGTTCAGACAACAAAGATCCATTTTAAGGTCGCAACACAGTACAGCAAATGCAGAAGACTGACCTAAAAAAAATATGCTCAATATCGAATCAAGACGAGTCAATGAGGTACACAGAGATCACGTCCATCACTGTTCATGTGGCTCGCGCCGGGGCACGTCATGCGCGCACACATGCACGTATGAAAACTGGATAGCACATGCCGCGTGCTGGAAGTTATGCCGCCGCGCATGCGCACATCTTCGCTAGTCGCAAAGCCGCGCAAGCCACAAGTCTAGCTGTCCGGTGCAGTCCTCGCCCTTTGTCAACACGCGCACCCCGTCGCCAGTCGCGACCTCCAGCCTTCCTGACAGTGAGGAGTCACGCCGCGTCAGTCAGTCGCTGCGCCGGCCCGGGGCCACCAGCGAGTTGCCCAACACCAGCATCACTAGCCTAAAAGATGCCGGGCCAGGTGGCGTTGCCAGCAGGGCTTTCGCCCTCCCTGAGCCATTAGTGGCGAGGAAGCCCAGCACGACCCATCCCTACCGACCGCAACAGATGCGGGGTTGCCAGAGTATCGAAAACGACATCTAGGCAGCCAGCGGGTTTCGAAGTAGTTGAGCAAATCCGCCACCAGGGGCGGAGACCGCAGGGTGCAGGCGCGGAGATCAGTCAGAAACCGGCGGAGATTAGGAGTAGTCTTGCCCAGCGGGTGCATATAGGCTGGATGTAGCCTCGACCGCAGCCTGACGTCGGCCCAGCACCCAGCAGGCCGACGGCCCATGAACATAAGTCTTCCCTCCGACGCCTACAGACATGGTGGCCGCCCGGTGCTGGGTGATCACGCTGACCTCAATAGGTACGGAGGTCCCGACATGGAACATACCGGCCACTACCCGCTTTCAAAACAAAAGGTGCCATGTCGAATCCAAGTCGCCGCAAGAGGCATACATCGAGATTGGACCGAACAGACTTTCTGGGAGGACACCCAGGCTCTCAACATACCCGCCCCCCCCCCCCCCCCACCGCGAGGATGGCAATTTTTAAGATCACATCAAAATATGCCAAATTTTTACACGAATTGACGAGTTTTCGACCAGTACAGGGCAGCCGTTCTAGTCAACACATATTGCGAATTCCGTTTGGATCACTGTTATTAGACGGAAGTTTATGTGATCATCGAATTTCACTACAGAAGGCTCACCAGCTTTGCTCTGCGTGCGTGCAATAGACAACGTAGATGCCCAGAAAAATATATGCCTTGGGGAAGAGTCTTACTTTTAGGTTGCGCCAGTAAGGAAGGCTGAGCACCCAAACCACAACAGAAAATTCGGTTCCAGAGGACGGTGTTCCTCCTTTTTGAGGAAGCAAGCATGCTCATTCACATCCTATATCAATCGGTAGGCGAAAGAAATGCGTAGAAAACCAATAAAAAGCGTGAAATACCTAGTAGTAATACCTGAACGCCAAGAAAATGCCGGGAGAAAACAAAAACAAGCATTACTGATACTAAACATGCGTCAAAATCACCAAAACGGAGCTTCCAAACAGCTCAGAATGACACTATTGGCTTCGGGTGCCCCCACTAACCCCACTCTACTTCTTACTGCATGATATCTTTGCTACGCCACTGCATCGTAACATGTTTGTCAGAAACAGCCTCGGCTAATCACCTGACGAATGGGAGCCGTTGCGCCATTACAATGGCGTGTTTTCGCACCGTGCACCGATGATGCATACCCACCTAAGATCAGCCATCAATTGCTTCGGTTTGCAATACGGGCCACTGAAATAAAACTATAATGAGACGTTCTTCGAGTACAAAAGCGCCTAAGCCAATGTTCTCGGAGCTCAGAATGCAGCGGCGTTTGACCCACCGACAATAGTTACATCAGTTTATTTGCACGGCGCATGAGTCGTGCGGTGATGTACTCGAACTCATGGAAGCCGTGGGAGATGTAACCAATCGGAGTGGACTTCCCACACGTTTTCCAGTCCTTACATGCACCGTAACGAAGTTGGCCAGACTGTTGTCGAGGTATTACAAGATATAAATGCATCACGTTCGCATGATGTGGTCCACGTGACACGTTCTCATGATGTGGTCCACGTGACACGTTCTCATGATGTGGTCCACGTGACACGTTCTCATGACATGGGTAGGGTTCTACCCATTATCCGCTACCACGTATGACGTTAGCAATGTCGGCGAGATCTACATCGCCAGCCTCACCGCCCGACGCCGCAGTCACCTTCGGTAGACTACCGTACCTACCGCACTTGAGCCGGGATTTCCACCGCCGAGCGGTGACGTCACACGTTCCTCGGGACACGTGACTATCTGAGGCAGATGTGGCGGCGTCCGCGCGAACCGGCGGAGACAGTTCGTGGAACGCCTCCTCGGACGGTGATGTTTCTCCGCGGAGCGCCTACAGGGGGCAGCAGCGTCGCCAGGGCATATCTGATTGGGCAAGAGCGCAGCTTATAAACACTGAGCGCCTGAGCCCCGGCAGTCACTGCGGACGCGAGGGCGCGGGCGGAGATCGGCTGCACGATTACGAGGGTCGATCGCGCCAGTCCAGCTGCCATCAGTCTGTGTCCCGCCGCGTCCACGATGCGTCTGCTGTCGCTATTGGTGGCCGCCTGTGCCCTGGTGTCCGGCTCGGCGGCTGCTCGCACCCGGCGCCAGAGCGGACCGTCCGCCTGCCAGGACTTCGCCAAAAGGAACGGCACCTGCGGCATCATCCAGGACTGTCCGCCTCTGTACCGGCTCGTCGCGAATGGGCGCCGACCGACGGGCGAGGAGATATCCAACCTGCGCAGGAGTCAATGCGGGGAGCGGGGCAGGCGTCTACTGGTCTGCTGCGCCACCGAGTCCGGTGACGGACCATTCACCGGTCCCCCGGAGCAACATCCAAACAGAGCGGTGCTGGAGAGCGGCAAAGCCTGTGGCCTAAACTTCGCTGGGCGCATCATCGGCGGCACGGAGGTGCCTCTCGGCAAGTTTCCGTGGGTGGCGCTGCTTGGGTACACTGAGGCTCCGTCGGAAGAGGTGCGGTACGAGTGCGGAGGCACCCTCATCGGTAGACAGTATGTGTTAACTGCGGCCCACTGCGTGTCCGGCCTGCCATTCGGGTTTCAGTTGAAGACGGTGCGTCTTGGTGAGCATGACCTTTCCCAGCCCATTGATTGCCAAAACTCGGCAACCGGAGAAAGGGTATGCAACGTCCCGCCGCAAGACTTCACAGTCGTCAAGGCCATTGTTCACGAGGACTACGACGTACCGGCCCGTTTTATGAACGACATCGCGCTGTTGAAGCTAGACCGCCCCGTCATCGAGGGCAACTTTGTCTCCAAGGTCTGCCTGCCGTTCGGCGACGTCGGACGACAAAACTTCACCGGCGTTAACATGACTGTGGCCGGCTTCGGCCGCACGGGACCCACTGAGGCTTCTCCGAGCAGTGAGGTGCTGCTGGAGGTGAAGCTGCCCGGGGTGAACCAGGAGGAGTGCGGCGACACCATCCGCGCGCTGCGCGGCACACTGGGGCCGCAGCAGATCTGCGCCGGCGGCGAGACGGGCCGCGACTCGTGTCCGGGCGACTCGGGCGGCCCCCTGGTCTGGTCGGCCGTCAGCGGGCCGCCCTACAGTCTGATCGGCGTCGTCTCATTCGGATCCACCCGCTGCGGCTCTGCGACCGTGCCCAGTGTCAACACTCGGGTCTCCGAGTACCTCAACTGGATCCTGGACCGGGTGGACGGCTGATCGGACGGGCTCCCGCGACGAGTGCGGTCCGGTACCTGAGCTTGGGGGAATCCGATTAGCGGAGGGCTGCATAGATAACATGCAGCTGACGGGTGTTGTGATTGTTGTTCTAATACCAGACGCGGAGTCGGTGCGCTAGCTTTACATTGACTGAATCCATCTAGAAGCGTGACCTTTTTGGTATCTGTGATGCAGGGATTATGTGGTGTAAACGTGCACGTCTATGTGGATATGCCCGACCTTGTTACTGCCTCGTTCGTCCTCCTGTGAGGTCTTCACAAGTCGTGAATACAGTCGGATCAGTTCGCGCGTGTCCTGCACGCGCTATAAAAAAGCTGAGTATGTTCTTTCGGCAGCAAACATGGTTGTTCTGGATGTGAAGACTTTGTTTTGATCCTGATATCGTGCTTTTTTAGCACCTCTGGAGATATATGATAGCTTGACGTGACACTCACTCGCTTTTTCATTCTTGATCTTCCCGTTGATAAGTTGAATGCACTGAAATTTCAATGCCTTCTGACGGTGCCTTAGCTGACAAACCAGTGGTGTACCCGGGAGGAAAATTACCATTTATCAACACGCGGATAATGCCCATGTCTAAGCTATCAGGACGAGACACCTTCAAAAGTACATTTCGTCGGACGATACGTTCAAAAAGTGTACCCATCGGCACCGTCCCGCCGGTTTCACAACCCTTTCTGCTCTCGTTTACGAGATCTACCGCCAATCTTGCAAGGTCGCCGAGAAATTTCGCGCTCGTGGGTCAAGGCTCCACTCGCAGGCGAGAGCGGCAGCACATCTCCGCGCACAGGCGCCATGTCCAATCGCCCAGATCTGTCCAAATCTGCACCACGGGTTTTGGCCCGTGTTATGAAGTTTCGTCGCAACTGACCCATGTCGTTTCCAAAGCTTCCAAAGCTTCCAAAGCTTTCAAAGCTTCCAAAGCAAAGGTTTGTATTGCCAATGTGGTTTCACAACGCGGGCCTTTTTAGCCGGGGCATGGAGCGAAAACAACACACGGTTGTTAGTTTGGCCTGCAAAATTAGCAAGTTTCTGTACAGTGTTTTTTCAGCATATACCAATTATATCACGACGAACATAGTGTTGCTTAACTTGCGTAGTGCACGATGTAAATATGGCGCGATTAATGTAAACCCCTGACAAGTGAAACAATTTTTTTGTGTTATTGACATATTTCAGCCCAAACGAATAACTGCCGCGTCATTGCGGTGGAAGACAGAGTTGATGCGTGCATAATCCGCCCATGGGAGATCTGTATCGTAACAACTAGGTGAGCCATAACTCAAAAACAGGTAAAGGGGAGTGCCTCTCGAGATAACCCAGCGACATTATAAACCTCTCGTTGACAATGAAAACAGAGGATTAAAACCCAGAGCTCCCGGCTAAGAGGTGGAAGCCAGTGTGAAGAAGGAAAAGGAAGTAATGATACAGACCCAGCGTGATTTATCTTACACTTTAGACGTGTAACATCCTTAACACGCGCCCGGGTGGCCGGCTAGATAACCTTCGCTCGGGTGGGGGAGGGTCAGTTTGACCCCTTGAAATCTCTGGAGCTAAGAGGGCTAGAGACATCAAATTTACAGGGTGTCTTGATCTGTACGTGGACTCGCTTAGGTTAAAGTTTGAATTTCCTAGGTCATGACCTTCAGGTCAGATAAGGTCAAACAAGGCCAAATTCCATGTTGGTCTCTAAATTGCCCCAGAACCTAGGCAGCTGTTTCTAAGCAGAAGGTCTTAAGTCTATTCTGGGTCAGTGACCTTGTTTAACCTTTTGAAGGTCATGCCGACTAAAATAATATAAAACTGCTCTGAGTTTTGCATTTGAAAAAGCGACAAAGGTTACGCTAGGCACTATGCTCCTAAAACAAAGTGTCGATCCGGTTCAACTTAGGTCATTGACCTGTTCTAGCCTCTAAGAAGTCATCGGAAGATGTATGATGCGGTTCCTGCTGTCAATAAATCGAAATGAGCACCACAAACTACCTCATACAGCAAGCCGTAGAGAAATAAATCAGGCTGGTTTTGACCTTGGTCTGACCTTCATACCTGACCTTAGGTAAACGTAATTTGCTCATTAAATATTTGTGGTGCCTAAGAACACACCTCAAAAATGCATGACTTCGTCAAACACTCCCTTATTTTATCAGATTGGACGATTTCCTAGAAATTGCCTTCGCTGAAACCATGGACTGACTTTGACCTGCCATAGGTCAGCGATCTTACAAGATACATCTAATTTTTTATGTCAAGCGATCCGCTATTCAATTGTCTACAGCTGTGCAAAATTTGGCGTCGTTACACCGCGCTGTTCGAAAACCATTTTGGAAAAGCCTTTGGAGGGTCAATTTGACCCCCACTCAAGCGCGTGTTAAAAGAAGGCTTAGGGTAGCCCTAGCCAGTCTCAAAATGACGACGCGCTGAGAACACCCAAGGCAATGTTCTTCCGCTGATTCAGTGCTCGTAGATGCCAAACACACAGATCGGCCCAATGAGGCCACTCACTTCGGCAGCGCTTGGTGCCGAGTGTGCTCGAGCAGCTGTCTCCATCAGTGCAACAAATTAGATAGTGATGTAGAGCTTAGCGGTGGTTATAAGCCATGCAACATGATTATGTCTGAAACGAGTTACAGTCGGACAGAGTAATTAATTGCGGCAGTGGATTCAATGGTTGAAAATAAGTTGTGTCAGATGTCCGACATGCCAATGCTTATTGACGAAATGCTTGCGATTGATATTTGTCACGATAGTTTGTGACTCTGACCTGTCATTTATTCTTACGTACGGAACCAGCGTAATATTCATATTCATTTATTCTTAGAACGGAACCAGCACATTGTTCTATAGCTTAGGGCCAAGGCAAAACGTAAAAAATAAGCTATGATTTCGATTCGATACTAACTGACTTAGACGTTAAAGCATTATGAATCCAGAGTTTGTATACTTGGTTGGGACGTTGACGTTGCAATTAACATTTTACATAGAACAATACTTGTTACTTTGAAATGTTGAGCCTTTAAAATTGACTTGGAGATAAGATGTGTATTAGGCACATTTTCTATTGAACGGAGAGCGCTTGTTTGTAGACCTGGATAACTAGTTTATATGGGATATGGGATATATGGGATAACAGTCTAGACAAGTCTAACTAGTCTCTCCAATCGTCAGGCATGAATGACACCCCAACTCTCATTCACATATACCCATTCACATTCACATATATTAGCTCTTGATTAAGAAGCAATATTGAAGCAGGATATATTTACGTGTTACGTAGCAGGTGTCTTGCTGCTTTGCCTATGAAGAACGTCGTATTGACTTAAGGTCAGTCATGATTTAATTATGATCAAATCATTGATCAAAGGTCAATAATTGATCCCATGACGGCAGGTCAAGTGTTCACTTTCCCAGAAAGTTAAGCTTTTTAGCTTTAAGGCATCATACCTACGAGACGATGCCTTGCGTCGTTGCGTCGAACGAAGAGCTCCTAGTTTGTAACATCACTAGTCTACCTAATTGCTAGGACATGATTGACACCCCAAATCTTATTCACATACACCCAACTACATCAACTCTCGATTAAGAAGCAAGAATTAAAGCAGGAAATATTTAAGTGCCACGTAACAGGTGTGCTGCTGCTTTGTCAATGAATAACGTCGTGTTGGCTTAAGGTCAGTTATGATTTAATTATGATCAAGTCATTGATCAGAGTTCATTAACTGATTCCATCATGGCAGGTCAAGTGTTAATTTCCAGAATATTACACTTTCCAGCTTTAAAGCATCATACCTACGAGATAATACCTTGCGTCGTTAGATATTAAAACAGGCGTGTTCCTTACATAGTTCTGAGTGCAATGGTACATTTGGTATGCGTTTTAGCATACATTTGTGGAAAATAACACCATTGATGTAACAATATCGGCCCGCTGCGTTCGGTTCGTGGTGGTGTCACATTATTGCTACGGTAAATTTCCTACCGGTAGGACTGCTACATCAGGTACGCGCAACATTACCTCTACTGCAAAGAGTTACACAGGCCTTACGTACTCGTAACATCACCTCCACTGCAAAAAGTTATGCAGACCTTGCTTACTCGTAACATTACCTCTACTGCAAAAAGTTATGCAGACCTTACTTACTCGTGACATCGCCTCCACTGCAAAAAGTTATACAGACCTTACTTACTCGTGACATAACCTCTACTGCAAAAAGTTATGCAGACCTTACTTACTCGTGGCATAACCTCTACTGCCAAAAGTTATGCAGACCTTACTTACTCGTGATATTACGTCTATTGCAAAGACTTGTACACAACGTGAGTGCCAAACGACAAACTTTTCACTTCAAAACTTATGCACATCATTACATCTACTGGAAAAACTCAGTCTTCACTTACACCCAACATGAATTCTACCGCGAAAGCTCACACATGACATAAGTATTACACGACAAAACTTACGCTGCAAGAACGTATACCAGTCAAACTTTTACAGCACACACTTATGGTCAAGTTTTTCTGTAGCATTGGTGTCGCGTATAAACATTTGCATTAGTAGTAGAGTCGTGTGTAAGTACTGATATAGATCTGTTTGCAGTGGACATAACGACGGGCATACATTTTTAAGTGTACATTTTCCCTGTAGCACTAATGCCGCGCATACGTTTTTGCAGTAGAAACAATTTTGTGTATAAGTTATGACTGTATTCATGTTTGCGGTGGCAGTAATGTAAAGTAAAGTAAAGTTAAGTAGTACAAGTAATGACTAGTCAAGTTATTGCAGCGCAGTTTCTGTCGCATCGCACTAATTTCGTAATTTCGTGTATAGGTAGTGGCAGCAGACGTAATGTTGTAGCCCTCCTGTCGGTGCAAGCTTTTGTTGTAGCACTAATGTCGCTGAATCTTCCGAGGCATCATCGGTTGCCTCCCTCTCGCCCGCTGAAGCCGTTGACCGCCGTGCATTATTCCTCAAAAACCGCAGCTCCTCCGAAAACAGAAAAGCTGTGAATACGATTTTTGTTTCAAAACACGCATAATGAATACCCCATAGACCACTAAAAATTTGAACGCGGTTGCACAGCATTGCCACACATGGGAGGCATCCTCAGGAAACCAAAAGAGGTGTAGCATCCCCCATGAGGCCGGGGGTCAAGCATACGGATCAGATCGGATCGATCGGATCTGGTACGGATCGGATCGAATCGGCATAAAACGAAACGCATACTGGCGGACAAACTGAATTCTAGACTAGCTGGACAAGACCCGCCGGACGCATTGGCCCAATACAAAAGGTGAGATTCGCTGGAGTTCTAGCTTCTTGCAACCCAGCTTTCTCGTGCCAATGATGCAGGGGACATCGATTGATTTTCTGGGATCAACATTACATAGGGTCCAACTCAGTCGGTAGAAGTGTAATTTTACATACCAACATCTCACATCCGGACCAAATCTGATCCAGCGAGTTACCTCGTGCTCTGACCACGATTCTGAAGTTTTTAAATCACTGTGCCGAGCCGTTTTCCTTTGATTATTGCGTAAAAATGACGAAATGACGGAAATGCGTTGACACGCGCTCGGAAGGGGATTGGTTTGACCACGCCCCATTGGTTTTTCCAGCATTATTTCCGAACAGCGTGGTGTAGTCGAGTCAAATTTTGCACAGACCTAGACAATTAAATAGCGGATCGTTTGGTATCAAAAATTTACTACACCTTTTGATAAGTTGCTGTTTTACGGAGGTCAAAGTCGGGCCATGGATTCAGTGAAGACTATTTCTAGGGAATCGTTTAATCTGATGCAACAGCTGAGTGTTCGACGAAGC